ATGCTCGACGCAAAAGCTGGCGTTTTTTTTAAAGCTCTGGAGGACGTAAACTCAAGGCACGCATCGACGTGGACGAAGGTCGATAAAGAACTTTCTTCCTTGAACGAGTTACGTGCGCTATCCATCCTGAGTTCGCTGACCGCGAAGAAGGACTTCCAAGACTCTGACGCGGTGATAAAGACTGCCACGGCGTCCCTAGCGAACGGACGCATCAGGCGGACAGGCTAATCACCTGACGGCCATTCTCGAGAGGAAAAACGCATCAACTAAGCAGGCACAGTCGCCCCTTGATAGTGACCTCACAGAACCTGACCGCGGATCGCTTCATGCAGATTGGTTACGCCAGAAGGGAAGCAAGCGAGCACTTGGGCTTCTAGTATCCCTTTCCTCCCCATCTGCTATACAGCAGATCCTGGGGTAAACTGTCAGCATCCAAAAGGCCTACACAACGATCAGACGTTTATCTGAGGACCGCCATCTAGAGTCACGTAAGCTGGGCCACAGCACTTCTAAGGAGGTGGACAACGGGATTTCATCAGTTTAGCCGCCCTTAAATTTGTTGCAAAACCGATGGCAGTCATGGCCCATTGTGCTCTTTAAAGCACGCCGACGCAGCCGGCGATGACTTGTGATGAAATTTTCTGTTCTACCACCGCGGAGCCCCACCACCAAAAACAGAGATGTTCAGGGGGTGGCAAGCCTTGCGTGGATGCAGTGCCCAAATTATGTAGGGCTATCATCGCTCATTTCCTTGACAGACGAAAAAAGTGCGGCAGTAAACTCCACACCCAAGGCAAAACCTCTGACCTGGATTTTGACAGACGTGTGGAGAGAAGCGATGAAACCTACCCGCAAATCAAAAACAAGCGTTGACAATGACATCTGAAATGCTGTGAAACTCTACAACCACTGGGAAAGTGGAAGCGCCCATCTCCAGCACTACTTCGTCAAATACTGCCTCTTCGATTGTGTACATCTTCGTCTCCCAGAACCCTGACAACCAAAGCCACAAATATGACAACACCGAATCGGAAAATCCATTGTACATCCAGTTGGCCACGCTGATCGCCGGCGGAACGGGTGTTCACGCAAACACGAAAGTACAGCGACCGCATCCACCATATAAAGTCGCCAGATTAGAAAATAGCTGGCTGGCTTCAAGATGCAGTCTTTCGCGAAAACGAACCTCTTAGGAGGGCTACTAAAGTCATTACTTCTTGGTGCCACCACCCAGCCCTCAGAGCCTTACAGAGACACTTTCCGGTCAAACAGCGCCAAAACACCCAAGAACCCAGGAAGGCGAAAGCTTGCCGCAAATCTTTGATCAACAGCAAACCTGTTCGCCAAAAATGCGGTGCTGAAAGACCCACAAGCAGCAATGGTCGTAATTTTCGCCCATGGGGAAGAAAACGCCGTCCCTCAAGGCTAAAAGGCCCGAGCAAACCGGGCTCCCTTGCAATGAAAAAACCTCGCAAGCGAAAAGCACCCCCAGAAACCACGAAGAAAGGAAGCAGAGGACATCGCCCCAGAAGTCCCTTTGGAGCCTTGGACTCAAACCCGGCGCACAACTATTAAATCTGCCAACCACCCTGGTCGCTCAACTTTCAGCTCCCAACCCTCGGAGGCAGAAGAGACAGTGTTGAAATGCTTGTCCACAAACTGCCCCAGCCTTTTCAACAAACTCGGCTATGTTAAACAGTCCGCTTAACTCGAACAACTGTCCATAATCGCGGTTACAGAGACCTGGTCCACACCAACTATATCTGATGCGGAAATCTCGATAGACGGTTACTCTATTTTCAAGCTGACTCAAAACGAGGGAGGGCAGCTGGATTGTTTTGTACTTAGATGCGGCCCTACCAATCCCGATTGTCCTCTCTGACACCACTCTCGCACCATTTGCGATGCACTGTGTACCAAAAACCCGTTGCGTGGTTCCGATTATTTCCTTCTCGGCGTGGCCTACCATAGCCCATCGAGTCCCCTTGAAGATGACCAGTTTTTCATGTAAACCCTTGAGCAACGCTCCTCCAAATACCACTTCACTCATCTCTTGCTGGCAGGCGACTTTAACGCTCCAAAAGCCTCCTGGATGGAGCTCCAACGCGTCTAATCAGACGGACTGTTCGCAGCGGCGCTGACTGAAGTCATTCAACGGAGCGCTTGGACTGAACATTTCGTTGCACCCAACAGATACCGCGCAGGCGAACAACCGTCTCTCCTGGATTTGGACGTCACCAACGAAAGACACCTCGTAGATCAGGTAACAATTAACGCTGCACTGGAACACAGCGACCACTATGCGCTCACCTTTGATTTCATCTGCTATTGGGCCAGGAATCACGAACCTCAAACGTGGTTTCGAGACTTCTGCCGTTCAGACTTTTGAGGAATGCGCATGAACAGTTCACACTGGGACCAGCTCCCGTGAGAGAGCTCTATAGGACCACTGTCCAGAAAGTCCACGAGGCTGACACGATGTTCGTTCCAAAAAAAAACCAGCGCGCATTCGCACAAACCGCAGGCTGCCAAAAAGGATTCAACGACTTATGGAGACAAGGTCCGAACTCTTTTGCAAAAATTTGGCCGCAGGGGATGCAGAGGATGAGATGGCATTTCGTAAAATGCGGAACCGCTGTAAATCAGAAATCCACCAATGGTACACATGAAAACAAGTCACCGTTCTGAAGCTAGCTCAAAAAACCAAAACATCCTGTTCAAATACATGGGACGTCGCTGCATAACCAAGCCATTCGCGTTCTCCTCGAAGGACAGAAGCGGAGAACCGACGGGTGACCCAACAGTGGTAACTGAGGTTTACAGAGAACACTATGCCTGTCTATACTCGGCCGCAGCGTCCTCGCCAAATCCGCCCTTGTCAAGGCGGAACTACGAACAGCCCCTAACCGACTTGGTCTTCACGGTGGAGGGCATTCGTCAGCTCTTGCACAAGATCAACCCATTCTGCGCGTTGAGGCCCGAAGAGGTCCATCCAGGGATGCCGAAAGAAACGTCTTCCACACTGGCAAATCATTCACACCTGCTGTTTCGTCAGTCGCTTGACGAAGGCCGCCTTCCTCTGCTTGGAAGGAAGCAATTTTCACACCAATGTACAAAGCTGGTGATTGACTATCGCCTGGCAGCTACATGTCTATAAGTCTCACTAGCGTGCCCTGCAAGGTGATGGAACGCATTCTAAAGCGAGCTATTCTAGATCACCTTACTTCCAGCAACTTGATATCTCCAGCTCAACGCGGATTTCTCCCACGCTGCTCTTGGGTTACAAACATCTCATGTTTATGGACAGCTTAACCCAAGCCAAGGACGAAGGACTCATATCGGATGTCATATTTTTCGACCTCTCAAAAGCATTTGATAGGGTCCCACACGTCCCGCTGCTCCACAAACTCGAGTCTCACGGTATTCAATGGAAAATTCTCCGCTGGGTTAAGGCGGTCCTATCAGACAGATCATTCCGAGTGAGAATAGGCTCAACCAACTCTTCTCCAGCGCCTGTCTCCATCGGAGTTCCTCAAGGCTCCGTCCTGGGACCAGTGCTGTTTCTGATCTACGTCAACGACCTCCCAGATGTTCTTGCGAGTCCATGTCTACTTTTTGCGGACGACTTGAAATCCTGGAGCACCAATGCCAGTGCCCTCCAAATGGATGTGGACACAGCCAAGCGGTGGTCGTTGGACTGGCACCTTCCTCTGAATGATGAAAAGTGCGTGTATATGTCATTTGGAGGAGACCCAGCGAATGCCTTCGTTATGCATGGTAAGAAAGGACCAGTAAACATGATGAGGATAGATGCCAAAAAGGATTTGGGCCTCTGGGTCTCCGCAAACTTGTTCCTCTCACTGCATCATGAGAAATCGCCCCAAAAGGCATTCGCCATTTTACGAACGACTCGGCGCACTCTCTGCCGTATTACTCGCTTGGACTTCCAAATACTCTATGGGGCCTATATGAGACCGCTCCCGGAGTACGCCAACCAAGTTGTCTACACAGGGCGCATGAAATACGTCACCCTCATTGAGCGTGTANCGATGGAGACAGGCGCTGGAGAAGAGTTGGTTGAGCCTATTCTCACTCGGAATGATCTGTCTGATAGGACCGCCTTAACCCAGCGGAGAATTTTCCATTGAATACCGTGAGACTCGAGTTTGTGGAGCAGCGGGACGTGTGGGACCCTATCAAATGCTTTTGAGAGGTCGAAAAATATGACATCCGATATGAGTCCTTCGTCCTTGGCTTGGGTTAAGCTGTCCATAAACATGAGATGTTTGTAACCCAAGAGCAGCGTGGGAGAAATCCGCGTTGAGCTGGAGATATCAAGTTGCTGGAAGTAAGGTGATCTAGAATAGCTCGCTTTAGAATGCGTTCCATCACCTTGCAGGGCACGCTAGTGAGACTTATAGACATGTAGCTGCCAGGCGATAGTCAATCACCAGCTTTGTACATTGGTGTGAAAATTGCTTCCTTCCAAGCAGAGGAAGGCGGCCTTCGTCAAGCGACTGACGAAACAGCAGGTGTGAATGATTTGCCAGTGTGGAAGACGTTTCTTTCGGCATCCCTGGATGGACCTCTTCGGGCCTCAACGCGCAGAATGGGTTGATCTTGTGCAAGAGCTGACGAATGCCCTCCACCGTGAAGACCAAGTCGGTTAGGGGCTGTTCGTAGTTCCGCCTTGACAAGAGTGGATTTGGCATAGTGTTTTCTGTAAACCTCAGATACCACTGTTGGGTCACCCGTCGGTTCTCCGTTTCTGTCCCTCAAGGTGTCCGGCAACAAATTTACACGAGAAAGAAACGGAAACATTTCCGAATGTGCCACGGCAGTATCATACTACGGCAATGTTTCAGTGTAAATCATCGGGGCTAGCCTCGATGTCCTACGTCGACTTCGATTCCGATTAAATTATCCAAGCGACAAATTTTGCTTCTGAACTGACCGAGAAGCCAGAGGAGACCTTGAGTCCGCTGACCAATCGGTGTTCTGAGGATTGCTCGACCCACCTTCTGCTAAGTATAACCGGACGCCGACTTCGCCCGATGTCGTTGGTTTACTCTTTCGCGTCCCGCAATCTCGCTCGACGCATTCTTGCATCGCGAATTCCACCAGTTCAATGCAGGACCATATTTACCGGGAGTTCAGATCGCTCCAAGCTTGGAACTGGTGAGTTCCTTGCACTTGCCTGTACCCACTTGCCACTGTGCCACGTGATAAAGTACTACATCATTCACGGATTCATAGTGTGATACACAGAATCGAGGCGTTCGTCGAAGTTTTCTGGATCGTGGTTGTTCTCGTCGTTCAGTAGCTTCTGTTGACCTAAAAACATGAGAAAAATGGGCGTTGCATCACTAAGTTATCGTCGCGGGACAGTAAGCACATCAGCGCGAAGGCCCAAATAAAACATCATCTAGGAGTGCCTTGAACTGAGTTCTAAATGCGGGGTCAACAACCTCATAGGAAACTTGTTCCACGCACGAACTACCCAAAATGAGAAAGATTGACGTCACTAACATGGTGTTGTAACTCATACGAACGACCCTTACGATAACATCGTGATTTAATGCCTGAATGACGGCAGAGTTTGAGTTGGGATATGGTGGGTGTAAATAAAGACCCACCGTTGGCTGCGGTTTTGTGAACGTACTAAGCTATATCGAGATAATGCTCGGATAGATTTTAATGGGGTCCTTTCTGCTGGATATTGGATATCACTAATAGGTGTCTGTCGACAAACCCAAGCTACGTCCTACAGCTGTCATTTCGATAGCGTCCTCGACCCTGTGTGCAACGCTGCTTGGGTTTTAAGTCCTCATTCCAATCAGACAGACAGCGCACATCCATGTAAAGCGAGTCCGGTGTACGCGCAAGGGCGATCTGTTGTCTATCTTGTTTCAGAAGGGTAAAAGCCGCCAGGGGAATTGAGCTTCGGTACATGGGGAATGTTTTTGAAGTATCTGCGGTCATGGTGGTCGGGCTAACTGTAGATGTAATAAACGGCAACAGGCGGTGAATGGGTCTGTTGGTCCTCAAGAATAAGCCTGCGGATATATCTCCAACAACGGGTATGGAGCTTGAGAAAGGACAAGAAGGGAGGCGTCATCTGTAGCCTATTTTCGGTGCACTGCTGTATACAGCAAATAAGGGTACCAGTTGATGGCCCCACGTGACGGCGGATGTGGGTTGAGGTTATTTTAGATGCGCCATTATTGGTTGCACATGGGTTGGAATGCTGCCAAGGCGGCCAGATCGAAAAGGAACATCGGTGGTCCTCCCTCAAAGTCCTTGGCCCAAAAGCCGGACCGCAAGTCAGCGGTAGTTGGCTTGACGCTGTCAAAACAACCTGAGGTTTTAAGGAGGAAGTGGCCACATGTTCCAACTCTCAATATGGAGGCGTTAGTCACACCTCTACCCATTAAACATGATATGATCGACTCTGTGAATGTCACACTCAGAACCGGACACACTCAATGGGTTAACTGAGTTAACTGAGTGTCCGTGTTAACCACGTAGCTCGATTAACCTGAAAGAGCGAAAAAACTGACGAGGCAACAATGCCGGAGACATCCACAAGCTTTTCCACTTGATTACTTCGACCGTTCCTGTGAAACCTCTTGTCAGTGGAACTGTCAGGGACCAGAAGGTTCTGGTAAAATAAGAATGATCATTCAGCCATAGCACATTTTCGGTGTTGAACTGCTATGCAAACTGAATGAGGAACGGGGGCTGGGATACTGGCAGGTTGCCCAAACCTAGACAAGAGCAGTCGAAATGCTGAGGTCGGGTTCAAATTACGTAAATTCTGGTCCGTAAGCGGGCACCCTAACTACTACCAATAACAACACGTCTCTCGACTTCCCTTGTCTAGAGTTGGGCAATCTCGCAGTATCCCAATCCTCGTGCCTCCTTATGGTAGCATGGCAGTCAGGCACCGAAATTTTGCTAGAGATGAACGATTTCGATTTCGATCTTTCGGCATGCACTTTGTACCTCTCAAGTCTAAACTCATTTTTGATAACATACAGTCTCTGAACATACCCCTTGCAATTTGAGGAGAATCACTGGATGTTTTGGAGGGTTTTACATACCTCGGCAGTTGTGTTAGCTATGACTGAAGGGTCTGCTGACGTCATTGCACGAATCTCGAAGGCCAAAATTGCGTTTGCTAATTTTCGTCACTTGTGGTGTCCAAACACCATATTGGAAGTCGAAGGTCACATGTACCAGGGTTGTAATCTTCTATGGTTGCACCATCAACTTAGATAGACATTTAATGACGATAGATGCGCATGTATCTGCACAGGGAAAGGCAAACAGAAAGTGAGAAAACTCGTCAATGATAGGAGATACTGGTTATGAGTAACAGAAGACTAAGATGCTTTAAAATTGGCGCCAATTCATTCGAATGTTTGGGTCGCTTTGATGGGCGCAGAGGGGGCGGTCTGACGGCATTTTGAAACGATGTCTTTTACATCTTGAAGGGAAAACGGCGAGTTTTTGAAAAGAACAAAGTGATGCATCCGAGCAATCCTAATTTATCATTACCGGTCGCGTTGGCTCATAAATTACGGGATAAGGCTTCAACCACCAGATTATATTTTTCAGATCTATAGCTGACATCGTATCTCAGAGTGGCAAGTTTCTTTCCCATAGCTGGATTTTATCGTTTTTGCCCTATTTTTCTGCGATACAGCGTACATGAAGGAAAAGCTGGAAGTTCATCCCGAAGAGATAGTGTTTCTGTTTACGGATATGCTCAATGATGCCTCTTTCCTAATAGCATTGATTCTTTTCGCTGAGTCAGTGCTCTAGAAAAGGCCACAGACTGGGTTTTCTGATTCACAGATTCAGCAGTGGTTTTGTCTGAGGCGTCCGTTTCGATAACCAAGGATGCACTGCACTCGACTGTTACGACCGTAGCGTCCTGTAACTTTTTAAATTTCCGAAGGACTGTTGCACACGCTCCGGTAGGGGAAAAGTTTAATTTTTGAAAAGCACACTTATCAAAGAAGCATTGTATCCATTGTGAATAACAAGCAAACATACCGGGGTTAGTACGAACCGATTCTGTGAATACAAAGGATAGCCAAGACAGATGGGCGATCTACCGAGACCAGCGTCCAGAGAAATAAACGGTCCGCATCCCTTTACTGTATCCTTGAATCGAAGAGTTCGGATGGTCTGATCAACTACAAGCATGACTCCAGTGGGTGCAATTGTCTGGTGTATCAGCGATGTGCTCATTACAGAAGCGATAAGGTCATTCTTAACTTCAACCGTCGTGGCCGTGGATCAGCCCAACGTCTAACTTGATTTTGGCGCATATATTCAAAGGGTGGTGCGCTCGTTGTCGAGTTACTCTGATATATTGCCTCACCTTAATGCCTGGTGAAAAGGCCGGGAGAGTCCTGAAAAGCCTGACGTCCCTCGAACGAGTAAATGGCAAATGCCTGTCCTAAAATCGTCAGATACCGGTCACTCGAACCTAAATTGTTCACTGGTAGCTCCTTTGTTTACTGTCACCGAGGAAAAATACCGCAGACCACCCAGTTGCAAAGACTTGATAGTCATCAACCAGAAGTGCACCAACGATCTGAACCCAAAAATCTCCTTGGGGAACAAGACAAAAGTAGGCTTTCGTGCTTTGGACAAACGGATTGACGGGCGTAATTGAGCCAACGTATTCTGAAGTACCCAAGTTGAGGCTTCATCCAGTATACAATAAGCGTATGGGTAAAGGCAACGAGGGTAAGGGTGAAGCGTTAGTATCTTGAGAAATGAAGAGCAAAGTGTGATGAATGATAACATTAGTTAGGAGTTGGAGACTGCCCCGTACGGTTTCGGCAATGTGAACGGCAGTTCTAGATCTCCAAGTCTAGAATGCTGTCCTGTAGCCTTATATGAAAGACTTTTTTCTCTTTAGAGCCATTCATCCCCCCTAAAGAAAGAACATGTCGATTACTGCTAAATAATTAACCCCTCTCTTCACCAGATGAAGCTTGAGTTACGCACACATCTATGATCATTGCCATTAGCTATAACAACAGCGGCGGGGCGCGCTGACATTAGGCGATTTTGATACACATGTATCACCCCATCCGCATACGTTAGCGAATCATATTATCAATAATGAGTAGCGATAGCGCACTTTGATCAATTCGCTGGACACCGGGATAGCAGCGTGTGTGACAGACGTGGAGATACTAGAAATAACATTGAAAGTTAAGAAAACCGTGTCGAAGCTCGGCTAACTTAATAATGTGAAAAAAATACGGGATGCAACTGCCACTCCATCTGACGTAATTCTTCGCCGTTTCTGTGTAGTAACTTTGTAATTCGGATGAGATGCTCGCGCCTGGTAAAAACCTAAGGGAAATGAAAATCTTTGGTCAACTGCATACTTGTGTCGCCTTTTTGTGCATTATAATTGCAATGGACAACCATATATAACGTACAATTGTGGATTTACCGTTTGTGGAATGCAATACGCGATATCTGGCCCTTCGATCCCTGTCATTCCGTACATTGTGGCATTCCTCACTGAGACATTTAACCTACGATCTGTTACGGCTGTCCTTAGACCAAAGGTAGCCCATTTTTGGCGTGCGAACAAAGGAGCCTCGTTACACGTATCCTCGTATCTGATACGAGGATGCTACTTTGAGACAGATTCGGAACCAATCCGTTCGTTTCTCTTCGAGTAGTTTTGTTTTTTCGATAGGCATTTATATTTTTGAGTTTTATACTACCTTTTAGTTAACCTTTCATCCAACCAGATCCTTGTCAGGAAATCGAATGAATCGCGATTAGCTTATTTTGTAAGATTAATGCTAAGCCGAAAGTTTAGACCAGAAGCTAGAAGGGACGACAACGAGCACCTCAGTCAGAAGTCAGTTAGGTATGCGGCCTCGTTGTACTTAGGATTTCCGTTACTGATAGCTCAGTGGTTGAGACAAACTTGCTGACCCGAAGGTTCATGGTTTCAACCTCACCTCGGTATCTCGACTGCTGTTGTCTAAGCTTGGGCAACCCGAGAGCATCTCAACCTTCGTGCTTCCTTCGGGTGGCACGGGAGCTAGGCGCTGAAAGGATGCTGCAGTTGAACGGTTATTATTATTATTATTATTGTGAAGGTCTCGCCTGAGTTCACTTTATCAAGTGGTTTCAGGCAAGGCTATCATCCCTCACATTTCCTCGTCAACTTCGTCACTGATAGAACTATGGAAGACTCAATACCAATCTCTAATGCTTGTGGGGTCAAAGTGCTCTCGCGGCGTTCGCCCACAAATATCAAGTAACGGACTATATAGGTCTTATTGGATCTGATGCCGTCGTAATTCAAACAGTACCAATTAATCTAATTAATAAATGGTTGGACATGTGCTTCACACCTGTTAAGTGTAAAGGGCTACAGCAAGACTGGATGGGCTCGAACCCCAACCCCCTGCTTGCGGATGAGCCGATTAAGGTAGTGGACAAATTCGTCTACTTTGGCAGCTGTATCCGTCGCGACGGTCCAGCCACAGATGATATTTTGATCCCCATCGGAAAAGCCAGAACAGCCTTCGTGAACATGCATCAACTGTGGTATAGGTGTTATATCAGTTTGTCCGTTAAGGGTCAGGTTTGCAAAACTGCGATGCGCTTCATATACAGGTGGCTGCATGCTGAAGAAAGACTTTCAGTGTTTGGACGTCGATGTCTTTGGACCATTGCTCAAGTCTGGTGAGAACACTGGATCAGTAATGCTGAAGTACGTCAAATGGTTTTCGGAGGAAATGATGATGAACTGATCAAACTCCATAGGTTGCACTGGCTTGGCCACATGTTCCGTGTGCAAGTTGACCGTTCCTCGAAGAGCTCTTTTCGCACAACCACGTAAAGGTTGGAAACGAGCCGGCGGAGGTCAAACAATGACTTGGCAGCAAAATCTGAAAGCCGTTACCAGCAAACTCAGCTTCACTGGTCATTGCCGTCTCCATAAACGGGGATCCCGAGACGGGACACATCAACGGTTGGAGACACTATCAGACACCTCCCAGTCGCGTCGCCGATGGCGCTAGTGCATCCAAACCATTGCCTTCAATGAATAGCTCCTCTCCTGATATCCTTAATGAAAAGTCTAGTGACAACCCTGTATTTACGCATCAATTATTTCAGCCACCGCCTCCAAAGCGCAGCTACCTACCTCATCTCCGGAAACCATTGGTGGATGAAGCTGGCAGCTGTAACCACTACACGACAAGTACGTGGTTCTTACAGCTGACCATTTTGATATTGTCTTGTCGGAGTTCTGTGACTGAATATGTTCTCTTAAGCGCTACTGATTTCCTTATCCGGATGAGCTACTACCCACAATATTCAAAGATGGGGTTGGAGTCCTCAGTCAGTGCTTGCCTGATGTCTTCCTGCATTTGGGAAAAGGAGACTGTCCCATTCAACGAGGGAAAATGTGTGATAGTGCCCATTTTCAAAAAAGGGTCTCGTAATGGGTATGATAACCATAGAAGGACCAGCGTGAGCCGGATCGTAATGAGGCTGCTCACGTCACTGGTGCTTTGTCACCTTATGGTGGCTCGTGAAACACCGACTGGAGAGCAGTAGGCCGGATTCCGGCTGGGTAGGTGTTTCGTTGACCGAATGTTCACACTTCGTTAGGCGCTAGAACATCGTCACCTGTACAAACGACCCACAATTTTAGTATGTGTTTCGTTGACCGAATGTCCACACTCCGTTAGGCGCTAGAACATCGTTACCTGTACAAACGACCCACAATTTTAGTATTCTTCAATTTCCAAAGCACAGTCGACTCGGTTAACTGGTCTGTTCTCCTAAACACGCTTGCCCATCAAGGAATGACTCTGAAGTTCGTGAGCGTGATAGGTTCTTTGTATTCTCAGATTTCCGTATGAGACGCTTGAGAGTATACGGACAGCTCTCCAAAAGCGAATGCCCACTTTCCATTTTCACTTAATTTTGTGATCGATGAGATAATGAGAAGAACGCTGGAAGATCTTCAGAAGCCTCGTGTTTAAATAGCCTGTGACGAAAATTTCGATCTGGAATAATCAGACATCGTTCTAATCTTTGAAGAGGAGAAGGTGCAGGTGTTTTTGGATGAACTTTGGATGTTTTTTGCACCCACAAAGTGTAAGGTCGTGTTCCTGAACATTCAGTCACTGAACATCCTTGACTTGGCAAAGGGGCCCTTGACTTGGCAGAGGGGCATGAAAGAGATTACGAAAAGGTTTCGTGCTGTCGATGCTACTCGGCTCTCAAGATGGGAAACTCCTAATCCCCACTGCGCCTGGTTGGAGACGCTTCTCGACGCTACTCGCCTCTCAGGATGAGAACCTCGTAATCCCCACTGCGCCTGGTTGGAGACGCTGTAGGATATAGCTTCCAACCGATGTCACTGGCGATCTTTTTGTCAGTTTCTATCCAGGTTGTTTGGATGAGTATCTGGAGGTGTAGGCACCTCAGAACGATTGTGATATGCTAGCACTAAGTCCCTTCCAAGCCCCCTTTATCCCTTCCTCCATAGTAGAATTTCACATGAATCATGGTAGTACGGCGACAAAGCATCAGTTTTGAAGACTGATGTCATGCTGTCAATGGTGATAATGGTGATGATGGTCAGATGTCATTTTGGGTTACAGCCCAACTGTTTAAGTTGGGTTGGGCTGAGGTCACTTTTGTTCTGGCCAGTGTGTGTCATGTTGGTAGGTGACATACCGGGATCAGTCTGTAAAGCCAAGCTGTACCTAAAGCAGCAAAACTACTAAGCGATGTGAACATAATTAACTCGTGCTGAAGTACATGCCCAGAGAGCAAAGTGAGAAGTAATTCCATAACACGCACAGGCGAAGCATTGCTCAGAGATAAGCTTTCTTAGTTAAATACGTTGCTACTCACTCTAACCGACAAAATAAGACGGACAGTTGAATAAACCGGCCGATATCTCGTGTTCTGCTTTGATTTTGATTGGGAGGTGAAAAACCATAGAATATAATAAATGACGAGTCTACAGACGATGCTTACAGACGCATACCAACCAGTCCATTTCGCATGCAAATCAATCTGTTGCATTCAGACCACCTGCAGAGAATACGAGTGAATTGCCCTTCTTTGGGCGTGTAGATTGCGTTCATCCGATATGCTATACCGGTGACTCCCAAGTAGAGCCGGTAGAAGAACGGTCAGAATTGTTTTCCTGTACCGCTGTCCCCTTTAAAAAAGATCTGTAGAGTCTGGTTGGAATGACTGCTTCTGGCTGTGGGAGGTCCCTTGTGCGAGAGACGAGATCCAATATTTTACGTGTGAACTAAAGGGACTTTAAGTTCGGTATTCAATTTTTCAAGAAACCTCTTATGTGTATTCGCATTTTGTATTGTTCTTTCATACAGACCCAATTAACATCTAATTCTTTTACAATCGGTAATAAATCTGGGATGTTGTTTAAAACGTAACTTTCACTTTTGTTAACGGAATCTTGTCGAATTCCCCGCAGCCTTAATCTTGGCCCTAAAGTCACTTTATTATCGCGTGTCCTTTATTGTTTCGTTTCCCTTTGAGCTGATTGGTTGATTGTCCTCAGATTTCTCTCCGCGCAGGTAATGTTATTTAGGATGAAGTGAAGCTGGATTATTGGTTACTTGTCAAGCCAATCCAGTCGAACTCAGCTCAACAAAGGTGAACTGATTTTCATCTCGTACTCATGTATGCTGATAAACTGCACAGCTAGTTTCTGACAATATTATCCACTTTATGTTTTCCAGTATGTTTCAATGTTTTGCGAACTGATGCTCGAAAAAAGCTCAGGGAAATAGCAGGCGATACTAGATCCTTTACATTACCAACCTTTGGCATTAACTCAGCAATGTCACGCAACATTTTTGACTGGATTGGACGATCTTCATATAACCTTGCAGAGACGCAAACATTTCATTTCCTATGGCGTTATTATCTGGGTTTTAAAGCTGGCTTACCAGCCTCATAAGTGAAGTCGACCCAATAACCTAGGTCAACCACCCTGGAACTCACACTGTATGGTGTATCCTGATTTTGAGCTAACAAGTAGACTTGAACATAGATTTCGGAAGCCCTGCCTAAATGGAAAGCAGTTACTATGCTAACTAGTGTTTACACTTCGCGCTTTCCTAAAAGGATTCCCCCCTGTTGGCTGAAATCCCAAACATTTTATGGCCCTTTTGGGGAAGCCTGACGTTTCACGCGTTAATCTGATAGTAATTAAGGGAGTTCTCACACAGAGGCAATGAACTGTATGGTGAACATTGTATTTCGATAGTTGCCTATCATTTCGCACACTCCGCCAATCTCACTGGGTTGTCCCTACTTGGACTCTTCGGCGGTCTACTTTTTTTTCCACACCCATTATTTTCTACAGTGCAGGATTTCAGCTATCGCAAGTTTTCTGTGCACACTTATATTGTATTTTCTCACACATAGGTCAAGTTTCTGCACAACGAGCAGTTTCCCACCTATTAATCAGTTGTCAATACTGTCTACTCTATTTAGCCCCTGCTCCATACAAAAGTGGAATGTTGCCATCAGTGCACTGGACTATCGAACGTGTTTTGGCCACTGCCATGCTGCCTCTCTATCCGATCGCCTTGTATGTTGATGGACCAGTGATGAACTTTATTGTAGTCACTGCGGTCACGATGCATTCTTACTGGTGAGTCCTGGTTTTATCCCTACTCCGACGGCACCTCAACCATTTTGGTGCTTTCATGAGAATAACCAAAATGCGTCGATCGTGACCTGGCAGGAGCAAAACCAGTTTGCTCGTTTGTCTTATCATTCCGGTCCCATAGTTGGCTGTCATGCTGACCACAGGGACTTGGAGATCTGGACATTCTGTCAGACAGGCTAAACTAAGGATAATCTCGTTATCTGAGTTAGTGTTGCTCTAAGTAATTAGCTGAGTGAGAAGGTATTTTTTTAGAAACCTAACTGTAGTTATTCTACCTCGTGGTGCAGTCTTTCCTAAGACTGCTTGCGGTGCATTTTGGTTAGTTCGGTGTTATCTCTGTACTATTGTTTGTTTGGTCAGAACTGCTAATTTCGCTTGGTGTCTTGATATTGAATATTGCCTTAACTATTCGCAAGCTTTCCGAACCAATTTAGAGCACCTGGAAGGTGTTTAGCAGCACTCACGGTCTCGTGCACCAAGATGACGGCCTTCAGGCAGGCGTAATGTTGACTTGTTCCATAAACTCATCTGTTGTTCGACATTTGACCTTTTCCGGGCATGATTTTGAGATAAATGCTGGGATAAATGTTGAGGATCCGAATCATCCACTTTTATGAGTGTTTTGGCAATGTCCCATTTAGCCTATAATTACCCGGCCTTTATTTCTCTGAATTTAACATTGGAATTACCATCAAGGTCGGGAATTTCCGGTCCCAATGGAATAGTCAGATTAAAAAAAATGAGGAGACAAATTCACTTTTTCTGGGTAAGGAATTTGGACCTCTTTTCCGTAGGATAGCTTCTGGCTGAACGTTCTAGCAACTCACCAGAGGGTAGTTGGTCGTTCTCGATAATTTGTAGAATCCCGGAGCTCCACGCCTATCAGCTTTATACGAACCGATTTGGAAAATGAGAGTCCCATACATTTCTACCATTTTGTTAGCTGGATTTCCCTTAATAGGGACGAATTACTTGGAAGCTTCATTTCACAATGAGGATTCCTTGGAAGGCAAAATATCGGCGTAGTAACTGTGCGGACCATGATAACAACTGTAACATTTTTTGTGCCTAGCTGTCATACTGCCCGTAGAAAGTACGAGGGCTGATGGCTTCCAGATTACCCAATTTCAAAGAAGGCTTCCGGATGGTGAGATTGGGTTTTAATCTCGAACTTCCCGATCAGTAAGTTGGCGTCTTAACCACCTAGCCGTTTCTATATAGGAAACAAAACAGTTTAGTTTTCCTGACCTACACAAGAGAACCTTGTGAGGGCCTTTGGTCGTAAATTTAGAGGAGAGTATCATTCCATTGCGGCTTAGTGGATTCGCTCAGCAGGCGTCGGCAACTCCTCCATTTTTGTCTAAACTTTATATGCACAAGCTAGCGATGCTCAAGTTTGGTACAACTAAACCTCCAAATCTCTAAAGTAAACGCTTTTGGTTCCTGTCAGATTTCTGTCGTGGCCAATGGGCGACAGTATTTCCTATTCTCTCGACAGCTAGCACTGTTTGTCTTCGGTTGACTGTTCTGAATTGAAGAAACCCAGACTTCAAATACAATACATTTCGCTTGGCTTGTTTTTTATCGGTTACTACGGTTACAGCAGTCGCGTTAAGCGATAACCTTACTATTGCTTTTCTTTGAAGAGTGTGTGAATATGAATAAATACGGATGATCTATCCATGTTTGAATGTATCCGTTTTTGGGATGGTTCTCCGTTTATGGGAGTTCGCTTCTGACTGACCACATCAAACCCTCCGCGATTTATTCTTACAGTCTTCGCATTACCGTTTCAGGGGTTTTGATGGAGTGATCAAGGACTATGCTTTCGAACGTCGCTACGGGCCCGCTTTGATGCCTATTCTCCGAACTATTTGGAAGGTGTTCGCTGCAGCCGGTTTCGCCGGTCTTCTCTATTTCAACTACAACGATGTTGGTTTCATCACCGGTGTGAAGAAGCTATGGGCTATGTGAACTGTTTGTGCGGCGCTTTGCTACACTGTGTTCCACCCCACCCCCTCAACTATGCACTATTGTATTTGAGCTCTTCCTGTTCTCATCAGCTAGTTGCTTCCTACAGGTTTTCATTGAACTCCCAGTTTGCTAGTGTTTGAAATCCACAAGTAGATAATAACAGAGACGAGCGCATGTTTTTATGTTACGCATCAGGGAAATAGTGTGTTGCAGGGAAAGTTTCCTACAACGAGTATGCTTGAAGCATGCTTGATACAGTTGAAATGTTGTATACCATTCACAAAAAATTAGACAGAATGGCCGATTAAAGAGTCGAGCACCAAAACTGGACGTGTACATTCGCGCCAGTAGTTCAAAAGATAGTTTCAACATGTCTCGACGTTTCAGCAGCTCCTTGACAGTCTGCATTCGGCTAAAAATAACGCCTTTCGGTTAGTCCTTCGGTCTAGTTGAGCAACTACAATGAAAACTTTTACCGTGAATAGTATCGGCCTGTGATAACTCCAGGCTGACGTTTGTCTTCATGCCATCGGGTTCAGGATTACTATGCTTGCTCGTGGAATAGGTTGAGAGCATTCAGGATCAGGGTTGACAGAGTTCAAAATTTCACTGGAAAGTTTAGGGTTAAAGAGCGTATCACTAACAGAGGCTGAGCTGTCGGCGTTTTTATGTCAGGTCACAGTTGATTCCGTGAAACGTGTGCTGCAGTCGCTGCGCTATTTTCCATGCTTGTGGTGCAGGATAGTGGGAGATGTACACTTACCAACTGAGAAATTGACTACTTATCCTTACATGCTTCGGGATGAACCAATCAGATGACGTAGGAAGCCAGTTAGATTTTTTCTTATCAAATGGCAGATCACCTGTTGCTCATGCATCACCAGCCTGACCGACTGTTGTATCATCCGTAGGATGCTGTCTGGTGATAGTTTTATTCTGGCCTGTATAGGCAAATCTGTCTGGAGATCATGTTCGTCTAGCAAACTAACTAGACAATACAGGGGCGGCTTTAAATTAAACCACTCGTTGTGAAGACCATCGACGTTTGCTTTCAACTATATCATACCATCCCTGTTGGGGTGGTCGTGCATCTGTCTTACAATGATCTTGCGGGCTGTACTGGCTGGAACTCAAATACTAAAGGTTCAGCATGTCCGACCCCAGTTCGGTCATTCATCTCAAGCCAATCGGAGCCAACCCAAGTTTTTCACATTCTTCGGTTGTCTGGCTGGTGGTATTGACTGTGTGAGAGTTATACTTATCCTGGATGCGTCCTACTGGACTGAGTCCCATTAACCAGTGGTCTGAGCTGTCAGGGTGACACTGGTTCAATCAAGCTCCATGTACCTCGACATGACAAATGATATTTGTTTGTTGTGTAAGCGTACGTCCCGACTGATACAGCTCTGAGGCTGAGAAATATCGCTATGGGGATTTGTTGCGGTTGCTTCGATCATGATTCTGGCTGGTGACGTGGACGCGCAGTTCGGCCCATCTTGGTGGTCGATTCGGGGTTGACGCTCGCCGCATGGATAATAGGGAACGGACTTTTCAATTATTTGCTAAACACCAGTTGTTTTTAGCCACCATCTTGTGACTTGGAGGCTACAAATTGGAAACCAGTCGTGGACTCACTTGGATCATATGGCAAACAGTTACCCGTGGAGGGCTTCGATGCATGACTGTCGTTCTTTCTGGAGTACACCACTTGACTCCGACCATATCATCGTGTCTTACACCTTGGATTAGTGGGTCAGACTACTGAGTCGTTACCTTCGGGCAGGGTTCCCCAAGAAAACCCTAACAACCGCTGTCTCACGGCTCTTATTCAAGACTGGAACAAGTGTTTTCCGAACAAGGCTCTACATTCTCTCACCACCTTTTGGGTCAGAATTTTGAATCAGTTCAAAGTGGCTTGCTCCGGGAAGTTGAAGAGGCTTTCGCAACGGAGAACAATCACACACTGTTCCAGCTAATCCGATCAGCTGGTCCGAGGAGAGTAGTCTTAGTGAAACTACATCCCAAAAGGACGGGACCTCGATCCGCTTACAGATAGCTCGTCTTGAACGATAGACTGAACACTTTGAAGGAAAGATCAGCTGAGCCCCATCAACTCACCCTGTGGAATGACTAGCTGATCCGTAGGATGCTGTCTGGTGATAGTTTTATTCTGGCCTGTATAGGCAAATCTGTCTGGAGATCATGTTCGTCTAGCAAACTAACTAGACAATACAGGGGCGGCTTTAAATTAAACCACTCGTTGTGAAGACCATCGACGTTTGCTTTCAACTATATCATACCATCCCTGTTGGGGTGGTCGTGCATCTGTCTTACAATGATCTTGCGGGCTGTACTGGCTGGAACTCAAATACTAAAGGTTCAGCATGTCCGACCCCAGTTCGGTCATTCATCTCAAGCCAATCGGAGCCAACCCAAGTTTTTCACATTCTTCGGTTGTCTGGCTGGTGGTATTGACTGTGTGAGAGTTATACTTATCCTGGATGCGTCCTACTGGACTGAGTCCCATTAACCAGTGGTCTGAGCTGTCAGGGTGACACTGGTTCAATCAAGCTCCATGTACCTCGACATGACAAATGATATTTGTTTGTTGTGTAAGCGTACGTCCCGACTGATACAGCTCTGAGGCTGAGAAATATCGCTATGGGGATTTGTTGCGGTTGCTTCGATCATGATTCTGGCTGGTGACGTGGACGCGCAGTTCGGCCCATCTTGGTGGTCGATTCGGGGTTGACGCTCGCCGCATGGATAATAGGGAACGGACTTTTCAATTATTTGCTAAACACCAGTTGTTTTTAGCCACCATCTTGTGACTTGGAGGCTACAAATTGGAAACCAGTCGTGGACTCACTTGGATCATATGGCAAACAGTTACCCGTGGAGGGCTTCGATGCATGACTGTCGTTCTTTCTGGAGTACACCACTTGACTCCGACCATATCATCGTGTCTTACACCTTGGATTAGTGGGTCAGACTACTGAGTCGTTACCTTCGGGCAGGGTTCCCCAAGAAAACCCTAACAACCGCTGTCTCACGGCTCTTATTCAAGACTGGAACAAGTGTTTTCCGAACAAGGCTCTACATTCTCTCACCACCTTTTGGGTCAGAATTTTGAATCAGTTCAAAGTGGCTTGCTCCGGGAAGTTGAAGAGGCTTTCGCAACGGAGAACAATCACACACTGTTCCAGCTAATCCGATCAGCTGGTCCGAGGAGAGTAGTCTTAGTGAAACTACATCCCAAAAGGACGGGACCTCGATCCGCTTACAGATAGCTCGTCTTGAACGATAGACTGAACACTTTGAAGGAAAGATCAGCTGAGCCCCATCAACTCACCCTGTGGAATGACTAGCTGAGCCCGAGTGGGACGCGGATGCTAGTCTGACGTCGTCGATGGAAGTCCAATTTCCACTTTCATTGCTTCAGTGCAACAAAGTACATGGGTCAGACGATTTGCATCCTGCACTCTTCGGAGAAGGTGGCAAACCCGTCGTCGCCAACCTAACGACCATTTTCGAAAACTTTCTGGAAAAAATTCCAACAGTGTGGGACGCTTCGATGATGATTCCCATATTTAAAAGCGGTGCAAGAACCTCCGAACCACCGGGGCATCACCTAGCTTCGAGATTGTTCTCTGGCATCATTCTACGCACATTGGTTGTCATCGGGAGAATCAGATTTGCGAAAATCAAGCTGGGTTTCGCCCTGGTCGTGGTCGGACTAATCATATCCTGACCTTGTGGGAAGTGTTAGAACTGCAGCACTCCTTCCGATGACCAACAATGGTAGTCTTAAGTCTGCTTCTGACTACCTTGATAGTCAGAAACGGTGGAATTGTCTAGAGGCGGTGTCCCTACTAAATTCTTGTCTCTTATAAGGCCTTCTTATGCATCCTACCGTGGGCTCTGACGTACCTACGGCAAATTTCCACCTGTGGTGTCATACAACGGTGTCCTTCCTCCATCGCTACGCTTCACCGCGCTCCATAACAACGAACAGATGATGTCACCTCGATTTGCGGTGAGACGTTTGCGATCGAGTTGCCCAGCTCAGCGAACAAACCAACGACCAACAGTTTCATTGCCAAGGGTTCGATCTGTCCTATTTGTGCATCAGAGATGTGTCCGCTGCATTTGAAGACCTTTGTGGGCTCTCTGTGTCCGATCAGAGTTGCCTCCAAGGCATCATGTGATTTCTGTGGAAACTCTAAATCAGTGATGTCGAAGTACGCCAAATGGTTTTCCTGAAAGTTCACTCTCCCTCGATTGCTCGTCTGGCCACCATCCACATGTTACGCTGATTAGGTCACTTGCTTCTTATGTCGAGGACCGTTTGCCTTGTGTCGAGTGGAGACAACACAGAGGTGGTCGGTACGTAATCTATACACGAAGAGTGCAAAGCCTTACTAGTCAGTTCAATCGCGTTGATAAATACCGTCTTCCCGAATGTGGACCACTGGAAACTCTAATCAGTGATGTCGAAGTACGCCAAATGGTTTTCCTGAAAGTTCACTCTCCCTCGATTGCTCGTCTGGCCACCATCCACATGTTACGCTGATTAGGTCACTTGCTTCTTATGTCGAGGACCGTTTGCCTTGTGTCGAGTGGAGACAACACAGAGGTGGTCGGTACGTAATCTATACACGAAGAGTGCAAAGCCTTACTAGTCAGTTCAATCGCGTTGATAAATACCGTCTTCCCGAATGTGGACCACGTGACAAGCAGGTTAGTGACAGGTTAGTGACCCTGATAAGTATGACTGTCCCACAGCCAGTGACGGTTTTGCGTCAAAGCTATCGCCTCCACTGCGCAGCTCTCAATATCTGACACCGGACAAACATTCGACGTTAATGAACTGATCCAGCCATCGCCTCTAACATGTGGCTTCCATTCTTTTATTCTACTGTTCCTCGGTGAATAACACGCTGTTTGGTCTCATGAGTGAACTAAGGTAAACTTGAGAAATCCCAGTTCTTCAAACGTACCACTTTCTCCGTTGCCCCAAAAGTTGAGTCTACCTGAAACTACTCACAAGGTTGCTGAAAACTCTTCGACAGCCCACGGCCGATTTCACCCTTTTTGGCGCTCATCAGATAGGCAGTCTACCTGAGTTGTAGTATACGGTGTATGCCAGTTCGGTGACTTATATGTAAGTATTGGTTATGCACAACCTTGCTTGCTGGGCTTCGGCTCATGGGCTTTATTTCGGTTTTCCATCCACAGAGATTGTCGTGTATAGATACCTCCGGAGAGTCACTGTCCCCTGGTGCTTCCATTGAGTACATACTACAGGTTGAAGGAAGAAGGCCTTCGCAGTGGAGTTATTAGAAAATGTCAACTGGACAGTTCCAAACTATTGGACAGGGGAGCAAAACTCTCATGCATCTTGTTTGCAAAACTGAATTTCCATATTCTCCTTGAAGGCGTCTTCCTGGACTCTTCTAGATATTCGTTGACTGTTACTCAGTTGCAAGCGAATGCTACAGAGCGACTCCACAAATTCAGTAATAGATCTCACTTTTCAAGAGATGCAAGTGGATTTACGCGAAAACATACTATTCGCATGCCCTCCCATCGGTAGTATCACCGTTAGTCACGGTTTTCATCCGTTTACACCGTTTCCATCCACAGGGAGTGCCGTGTATAGATACCTCCGGAGAATCACTGTCCGCTGGTGCTTCCATAGAGTGCATACTACAGGTATATCTCAACGTCATAAACTGAAATAAGTGTATTCAGAAGTAAGGGAATGCTGAATCAAATCTTGTTGGGCGGACTATTTAATGGATCGGATCCGGAGGGTGAACTGCGAACCGTTCCGCATGTTTAGTATTTATATTTGAGAAACCGAATGTGAAATCGGATGTTTAATGGGTTGATAAGTTTGAAGGCTTTAAGGCACCCGAGACCAACTAGTGGCTTTAGTGGTGTTTCTTCTGGAGGTTGTTTGCACAATGGAGCCTTTTCTCAATAGTTTTCAGTGTTTTTGATAGAGCGCGTGAAACTAGAAGAGTTGTAGAGTTTGCCTTTAGCTTTTTGTGTTACAAGATGAAAACTACGAGATCCTTTCATTTCACTCCTCGATCGATACTCCGGCTAATCCGATTAACAAGAAAGTGGATGCTTTGAAATAAAGGAAAGTTGTTATTGCAGCCTAATGGTTATTAATATCACACAATTGTTGCATTGTATCTTTTAGGCTTGCAGTCGGAAAGTTAAGTCCTCGATCGTGAGAGAGATTACTCCGTCTAGCTTCGTGATTACTCTGATACAAGTCGACCCCTAAACAAAACGTTTCCAGCCGGTCTGTGAACTTTTGTCCCGAGTTACTACGTGGTTAGCAGGTAACCATGACGGACTGTTACAAATTGTGACCAGCAGCGTTGGCCACGCAGCGGAAGGGAGGAAGCGAATTGCACTAACAGTTTTTATGTGCCTAGCTGTCATGCCAGGTTGCCCGAGCCTAGGCAGTTGCTAAGCCCAGCACTAACAGTTACGTAAAATTGAATTTGCAACGAAGACCTTGTTAGTCCAAGGCCACTTCTGAGGCTACGAACAGGCGCCTCATGCCGGTGGTTTCATTCTTGAACTCGAAAACTGGTTGCGGATCGCATGCATGGAAAGGATATCAAAATTCATGAAGAACATGGACTAGGCTTCGTTTATTAAGTAAGCGTGCTATTGCGCGCGTTTAGCTAGATGCATATTTCGGACGATCACCACAATGGACTTCTCAAAGCACATCTTGTGTCATCATCATTACCAGCGTACGTTTCGTATAGTGGTTGTAGTTGCCAGTTTGGTAGCTGCGTGTTGGAGGTGGGAGCTGATAAATACACGTCTCTCAGTGAGCTTTCAAGTATGGGGATTGGGAAAATGGGTGGTTTCTTATGGTTTCTAATTGTTCCTCTTCTTGCTACCTTAAAACTGGTTCAAACCCAGAATTAAAAGAAAACAAGAAAAAATTTTCGGAAATATTATTGTACTTTCTACTCTGGTTTCAGCTTTGTGACTGTTTGCCTTCGATGCGCACTTCGTCCAGGTGATCTTCTCTGGCTTGTATGCAAACCACAAGGCAGCCTTTTTCTGTAGGTTAGAAGTAGTCAGGTTTATCGTGTACTCATAATGTGCAAGTCACAGTTTCTGCTCAATAAAGCAGTTACAACTGGCGTCCTTAAAGCATAATCATTTGTGAAGAGTCAACTACGAAGTTTGTCAATTTTTCACGCTTCAGAACTGTGGTGCGCATATGCTTGAAACGCATTACGTTTGGAGTTAACTGGCTAAACAATCATGTGTTTTCTCCCAAGGCACCATATCAAATAGGGTGGAATGTTACCTATTTTCTAACCTTCTGTCAAGGTTTTCTTCATTTTATCGTCACCACTGACGGCAATATTAGCGTTGAGCACGAGTATAGTCTTTCGTACAAAGCATCAGTCTGTTTAGAGAAAGCCTTTATGCGTGAAGAACAGCGCAGTGGAATAGAGACCTAGTTCCAGCATTCTACAAGTAGTTGAGCCACCCATGACTCCTTTGTTTCATTGTATTTTACCACTACCGTGGCCACTGAGCACACACCGTGCAAGCTTTGGTTCCTAATAGACCGGTGCAAAATGGTATCATCCATAGGACTAATTTGTCCAGTGAGTGATTTCCGGATTAGTCGTAAAAACAGTTTCATCGCTTACTTCTGATGGATCCGCTCTAGAGGCTGGTTTTTGGTAGGCTATGTATGCAACGTGACATGCAATGGCATCACATTCGCAGCTTGCTGTCAAACTTTGACACTCCACACACAGTGCTGAAAATGGTTTAATCAAGCAAACATTCAATACGAATGACCGGGCCAACGTAAGCCCTAAGGATACTGTTGTCCTTGTTGCAGGCAACACAAGACTCACCCTGATCCATTAGGCCAGGATGGATGGGCCTATCACCCGGTCGCTTTATTGCACTGTGTTGTTGGTGACGATGGTGATATTATGCTTCAAGCTGTTTTGGATCCTGAGGATGCATAATCATTTTGTTAATCGTTCTAGCCTGGTCGTTGAGTGAGACAAGAAATTGAGCGTCTCACGGAATTTCACCTGAGAGAATACCGCAGCAGAGAAATCTACTGAATAAATATTCTCATTTTTGTGGACTGTAGTAAGATCGTCAACCGGATATCTCACAGTTTGAACACTGGAATTTAGGTCTAGGATAGCTCAGTACTTTCTTCTCACCTGTACAAATAAGCGAAAGAATTTGTCTCATTCGAAGATCTCGTAACTTGTCAGTCATCCAGAGTAAAATACCATGTTGGTGACTCTTCTAGGTCAACTAAATAGTAATAAAGAAATTCCATTTTATAGCCTTGCTCTAATTCCCACCTGACTGAATCTAAGTTAGTTGATTATTTGTTAGCATTGGATTACAGGAGACCAGGAGCAACAAACTACCGAAATGTGCGAGACGTTGCGTGTCATCGAACTCAAACAAAGAACTTAACGACATAGATGTTTGTCGTTATTGAATTTGATTGCTCGTTTAGACAGTACGTTCCTGTTGTACCGCATAACAAACCTTATACCTTTTTTGCTTCGCATCTGATTTTCCCTGGGCTGTTTAACTAGGGAGGCACGTCTTGAGGACACAGTTTTAGCTTAGTCCGATGTATTTTCTGGTAAAACACAGTAGTTGAGTAAATGAACAAAACTGGTGCGTTTGCGGATGCTTCACTAATACTGACCTACATTATGACACGTACCTATAAGTGAAAACCAATTTGAAGCATTGAATGGACGGTTGGATGCACTTCTGTTCGGTATAAAAGGTTATAGTCAAATTCAAATTATTCAGCTTCAATGGCTACTGCTGTTTTTTCCACCAGCTGACGGCACCAACGTTGTTGACATTCTCAAATATCACATTCCTTAAAATCACATATGCCTGTTTATGAAACATACCGCGACTCAATTGCCAGCGTCAAAGGTTGGCACCATAGATGCACGCGTTGACTGAGATGCCTTTGCACCTCAAATATACTGAACTTTAGTGTAATATGATGCAAATAGCTCCAATGAACTGATTCAATACTTCCTCAAAATGGTAAGGTGCAGTGATGTGGATGATGTGCTGATATGTGAAGTGTTCAAGCGTTTGAGGCAGCGACTGGTAATCGACGAGGGTTAAAAAACAGCGTTGTTACAAGCGGGAAGTGGCAGCTGAAGGCTACCGATCCACCGTAACTAACTCCCGTTAGTGAATGAGCTCACTCCATTGGATTTGGATGCGCACCAACAGCTAGAGGTTGTTCGAGTGGGCACCCCTAGTTTCCAAATTGACAACTGCATCCGACGTAGCAACAGGACTTTTGAATTTATGGCAGTTCAGCCTCCAGAAGCCATTGTAGGTCCATAACAGCCGGCCTAAGTATGGCGACAAGACCCCTAACCTCAGTTCACCAACCGTAATAGCGGCACCAGATGGCCGAATAGGACGGATTAGCGCACTTCTGGGCTCTGTGTTTTAATTCGTAACGGGTACATTTTTCGTACTCACGTGTACTTAGGGGTTACCCAGATGCTGTTATCTTACTACGAATCAGGACTAAGTGATTATGGGCCAGATGAAGAGATTCGGATTCATAGACTTTTAGACCCTTTAGGCTACTCTGCCGTCATATGAATCGTGCGTTCACTTCAAATATCAGCTGCAACGCATAACTTGCAACCGATCCCGACGCGTATCTATTTTAATGCTGGAAGATGACGAAATTCTGCCGTAAATATACATTGCGATCGTTTCAGATGTTACCCTAATCCAGCTCGCACAATTATGCACTGGATTGGATCTTGCGGCTTCGTGGCTGGTGGTCTAATCGCCAAGCTTGGCAATTCACTCGTTCAGCCACCGACAGTAGAGGCATCACTGCTGCAGGGTTGGAGAATGTATTGATGAGGTTCCTACAAGCGCAAGCAAAATATCAAGCTAGGCGGGCATATCAACGCACATTTCATCTACAGCCGATGGTTTTGACTCTTTTTCTAACCGACCGAAGGAGTCAATGTTTGAATACATTGTGATGAGGAGAGACTCACCAGGAAGCACCATGATTTCGTTCTATTTCATCTACAACCGATGGTTTTGACCCCTTTTTTTAGCCGATCGAAGGAATCAATATTTGCATGAATTGTAATGAGGGGGACTCACCAGGAAGCACCATGATTTCGTTCACCTTCGTGCGCACACGTAGCACAACCAGTTCGTCACAGGGGTCCAAATCACGCACTACGTGGTCAGTGATGACTCGTAGCTCTTCCATATGTCTCGTGTACTGGAGCGATGTGGAATTATCTAAATTCGACCGAATCGGATTACCCTCCGCGTTGACCAAAATTAATCCTTGTACATTCTTGTGGTTTTGGATCCGTTCAATTTGCTGCACAATCTCCTGGTTCTCGTCGGCAGCGTTATTGCCGAGTGTTGTCATTAGTTTGTACACGCCAAGGTCTTTGGTGAGAGCCCACTGCCCCTGTTCTTGGAAGCGGCTGTCACGCGAATACGTGATCTATCGATCGTGATTTGAATAGGTCAACGGAAGTTTACAAACAAGTCCAAAAAGTGCATGCGACAAGGTAGGACATATTGGCCCCTGATACAATGATGGGGTGCGAAAAGGCATAACCTCCTCAACTGCTGTACTGTCGTGAGAGTAAGGGCGCATAGAAACGCAGTAACCATCACCTATGAGTAGCCTAAGAAACTGATACCTTTTTGACTATGAACTGACAAGCCCTTTAACCAACTTTACCACCAACATCATATGCTAATCTAATATTTGATAAACTCAGGCATTATTTCGGTATTTCTAATTGGCACCACATTTGGCCGCAAATCGATTGTGGCTTGGTAGTGATTGGCAGACTTTGGGGAGTTTATTGAGCGGCGACCGGTTAACAAGAAATACGTCAATTCTGTATTTCGGTTGGACTGCATTACAGTCATCGTTCTTAATCACGTGGGTCATTACAAATGTAAAAAGAGGGGAGGTTAGTTAAAAAAGCAATGTTTTGGGGACCCCTGTCCGTGCAGCACTATTTCGGTTGGACTGCATTACAGTCATCGCTCTTAATCACGTGGGTCATTACAAATGGGAAAAGAGAGGAGATTAGTTAAAAAAGCAATTTTTTGGGGACCCCTGTCCGTGCAGCCTCACAGAAGGGCAACAAGTTTTAGCAACCGCGCTTCTTACCTCGTCAGTACAACCCGCTAGAAACATAGAAGTTTACGGTTACTGTGGTTCCGTGTGCCAGCAAATTACTCTATTAGTTAAACACAAAAAAGACATGTTTTCTATTCGTTATCTCAACCACAACTTGAATTCAACTGCCATATCTCATTCGGGAGTATTTCTTTGGAGACACTATCTGTTAGGGAGTATATGACACCTGCTTCATCGTAGTTAAAGTGCGCAGCTGCAGACGGCACCGCACCAACCCTCGGTACCTGTGCACACGCATGATCGTCTCCAACTCTCTGGATAGGCGTGCCCATACACTCAATCACCACAAAGCGTGGTAAAACTCAGATACATGATACATTGCGGTCTACAACATTTATACAATTCTAAGAAGGCACAACACACAACACAGTAAAACTAGATTATAACCCAATCACCTCACGGACCATTAAGAACCTTATCTAAGTTGGGTGCATGGGAGGTGATTAACCGGGAAAGTGTGCCAAGCCATAACACAAGGGCTTATGCATAATCAAGTCCCTCACGGACCATTAAGAACCTTATCTAAGTTAGGTGCATGGAAGGTGATTAACCGGGAAACTGTGTCTAAGTTTTGCCAAGCCATAACGCAAGAGCTTATGAATAATCAAGTCCTAAGTGTACTCGAAATCCGGTGTAATCAAACACAAGCATATGCAAGCAGCCTTAATGGGTATAAATGGAATAAAGCAAGAGGAGAGATGAAATTTTATCAATAAGAATGATTCGTCGCAATTCACCTTGATCCAAGGGGAGAATTCGAGGTCTCTGAAGACAAGGGATGGTCGAACAAATGCAGTAGCTTGAAAGCAACTCAGAAGCACCGGGGCAAAATTTCTCAGACGCTTACTACAAAAAAGGATGAGATGAGGTCCAAAAGAGAATAACCATTTTCACAAGGAACTTTTGTAAAAATTAAAGGCATCTATGGAACGATTTATTTGCGTTCTAAGTTAATAGAAAACAAAAGAACCCGGTGAAATCTAAAAAACAGAGAAAAATTGGCAGTTCAGAGAAAGCAATTTTCTCCAATACTCAGACAGACAGAAGATATCAAGTTGAGCTGGAAACTCACCTTCATTATGAAAGCAGCTCGGATGACTTAACTGCTGTCAAAGACCTTTCGCAGTTACAGCAAACCAGGTGCAAAGTCTAGGAGAAGGGAGACTTAATGGCTTTTCTGCGTAGTTCATAACCCTTGGAAAACCGACGCTGCGAAACAGATTTATTCACCTGACATGCACAGTATTGGGGACAGGAAAAAGTTCCGCAAGACTCCGAGAATTAGAAAATGACTGCTATGAATAAAGGAAAAGGAAGTCGTTGGAAGGTGGGCGGGCTACTACATACTTAGTCTACTCTACGCAGCAGGCATGGCTGTGGCTCACGTCTCACTCAGTTGACTGGTAGCTGGCAATCTGGAAGAAATCCTTCCTGAAAGTTAGTGTTGAGACGGTCTCGATTGACGAGTGAAATAAGTATTACTCTAGAGACGGTTTGTGGATTGCTTTAAGGCCTTCGTTGCAGTTAATGGAGAAGTAATGTAGGTTGCTTTAAGGAAGCTTTACTGTTCGGATAGTATCTTAAGCTTTATCAAAGCCTTTCAAAATGGTGTGAAGCTCAAATGTCTGTTTGTCTAGTTATTCCGACTGAATTCGAAATCAACACCGGAATAAAACATACGCCATACATATTCAGTCTATATTTAGTAACCAACTGCGTGCAGGCACTTGGCTGGTGCAAATTGTTTATTTTGTTGCGTATAAGGCTAGAAAAACTATAGACGACGACTGGCATCTACATCCATCTCGCGGATCACCGCCAGAACTAGTCCCCTAGCTTATGTTGTACTGGAACACAAACTTTCGCGTGTATTACGAAAAGTCGGAGTAGAAGTAATATCAGATGAAGTTCACTTGGACTTCTCGTTTATCCTATCTCGCGTCACGTTTGTGTGGAGGTTGTCTTTGCACAGTTTCCCCGCCCGTTGTATCGTTCGAAAGGGGAAGAGTACTTGGTTAAGGATCTTATAGGGTAGATGGCTGTGAGAAACCACTGTGAACACTATTTAGAATCAGATAGTCTGAAACAAGTGCCATGGCTCTATTGTTGCCGAATGAGTCGGTGGAGAGTTGGATTTTCGTCTCCTGTGATCGGTTCATAGTCATTTCCACTCAAAGAACTAAAGTTACTGTGACTAAAAGTTTACCCTTCATGATGAAGTTACATGTATCTATCTTGTGAATATGTTTGGTGCACAGGGTATAACGAAGATGGCTGAAGCTTTTGAGTTTGACCAAGGGCAGTAAATTCTGAATGTCGGACACACTGAAGTTTAAATGAAAACTTTGGGGAAACCTTCGGGATGTTCGAGTTAAGAGACGTCTTCGTCACTCACTGTCTCATCAGACAACACCTAAAGGGTGAGCTTCCCCATATAACAATTCCGTGTATCTATCAATTCATCTTCCGTGATGTCTGGTGTATCGGTAGAAAAATTGTGCGGCTATACGTAAAGGCGTTTGAAAACATTCCGGCAAGTTTCCTCCAATAGACACTCATCTTAATCATCATTACCAGCTGTGAAAACCACGTACGTCATGCAGTGGTTGTCGCTGCTACAGTTCCGTCCATCGATGATCTGGGGGGGCATTGGAGGAGGGAGTTGATATAATTGATTCGTAAATACAAATCATTACCAGCTGTGAAAACCACGTACGTGGTGCAGTGGTTGTCGCTGATACAGTTCCGTCCATCGACGATTTGGGGAGGGGGCACTGGAGGAGGGAGTTGACATAATTGATTCGTAAATACAGGTCTGCCAGTGGACTTTTAGATAGGGGATTGGGAAGGGAGCTATGCACTGAAAGTAATCGTTTGGATGCATGAGCGCCATTGGGAGCGCGACTGGGCCATGTCATTAGCAGTTAAGTTTAGGTCCCACCGCTCGATACGGGATATCAGGTTAACCACTCATCTACTTTGCCCTCGTTCATGAAGTCAACGAAGGATCACCAAGGAAATTAACCACCTATAGAGTTTCAGCCACTTCCTGAGCCACAGATATTAAGTAATAAATCACATGTCAACCGCACATCACAATGCGATGAACAGTGTGAAAATATATTTTGGGCATTTGGCCGTTTCACTGCCGACTGACTGCCGTTTGCTGACCAAAAAAGAGATACCGAGAAATTTCCGTTCGCCCATGCTGTGTTGTTCTTAGTGAAACCATTAGAGTTCCCCAAATAGCCGTTTACGAACCCCAAACACTATTGATGTCTTCATCTGAGTTAGGCACGGTCTACACTGTTAAGAGCAGAAACCTGATCAACCAGTGGAACGATGCACTAATCAGACTGCTGTACAGTAGAACTCTCCCTCCTTAAACCATACCCACAAGGAGATTTAAGTGAGTGATTCGCAAGAATGTTCACGATTTCTCTCATAGTCGCCACAATTCACGTCCGAATTCGAGGCTACTCTCATCCGGGGCCCTAAGGAATAGTTCGTTGATGCACGTTCTGACGGCATTTCTGGGCATCTGGTTGATGTATGATTTACTTCACGGAAGATGTCACGGGCAGTTTGACTCACATGTGCCAAATACCCTTGCTACCTCAATGCAAAGAATTATCGATTTCGAAAGGCTTGACGCGTAATTATTAGGAACGCTTACTCAGCTGTGGAGCAAACCACCACCAAAATGTCAAGTCTGCAACGTGAAATGTTTTTTCTGAGACCAAAGATGCCACACGAGAAGCCGTATTTAGGTCTTATATCAGTGCGTCTAGGGACAGACCTTATGACCAATGGATATCGGTTAGTTGCAGAACCGGATTGTTACCAGGAACTGGTTGCCTAATCAGTAAAAGATGTCCTGTAGACTAATGGAGGTTGCTTTTATCGTGCAGGAGCCAACCGTAGTGTGGTGTTTGAAAATGGATGTCTTTCACAGTAATCAGTAATCGGTAATCGGTCTCGCCTGGTTGTTCTGTTGACAAGAAGACACCCGAAAGAAAACAATGGTCGTGACCAGCGTCTGATTGACAACAATTTGTCCTGAATACAGCTGATGAAACCTTATTGAAGGCTTCAGGTGTGCAAAGTAAGTTGATGACAATGCAGATGACTCCTGCATAAAACCAGTGATTGAGTATCACGGAAGTCACCTTAATTGTACAAACTGTATTGCCTACAGAAAGTGATTTAAATTGATCTGTTATGAAGAATGCCTGTCCGGTAAAGCCCATAGTACAACAGGAGTTTTGAAAGAT